AAGCTGTGAACAATCTCAAGCTCCTCACCATCCATCCTGATGCTGCCAATTCAATTGGTCCAGTGGTGAGAATCTTTGTCTTCTTGACATTGAGCCTCAATCCATATTGGAGGCTGCAGTCCTTGACACTCTGTCAATATTTATGCAATTGGAAGCACCATCATAGATGGAGAAGAGATTGGTGTTGTTAACAATTACAGCTTGCCAGAGGCTCACGGTTCGAATCCACCAGATGCTCTGCCGGGGAAGGAGGGACAATCTCCTCCTGTACCAGTCAGATCGGATTTGACGGTACACTCACACAAAAATAGAAAAAACAAAACAAAACAAAACAATTACAGCTTGCTCAGCTCCACAATCAACACTCTTAACACCAGCAGTCAGTAAATCGAAGACGAATTGCTCTGGGAAAATCTGCTGTCAGGGACCTCTCCAGCGTAGTGAAAAGCAATTAACATCAGTCTAGTGACTAAGGTGCACCTAATCCAGGCCATGGTCTTCACAATTACTTGCTGTACATCCGAAAGCTGGAGAATGACTAAGGATGACAGAAAAAGAATCAATGCCTTCAAATTGTGGTGCTGAAGAAGAGTCTTGAAAATACCATGGACTGCAAAGAAAACAAAATGCTTTTCTTGGAGAGGGTGAAACCAAGTTACTCCCTGGAGGCGAGGATTTTGAAGCTCCGTCTCACACACTTTGGACACATGGCCAGGAAAGGCTGGCCCTTGGAGAAGGACACATGACTGGAAGAGTGGGAGGACAGCGCAGGAGATGAAGACCCTGGATGAGAGGGACTGACACAGTAACTGGGACAATGGGGGTTGGTGTGTTGGAATTAGTCAGACTGGCTCAAGACAAGGCAGGCTTCAGAGCTGCAGCACATAGGGTCGCAGGAAACTTGACAGCACATAACACCAACACAAACCACAACAACTTATTATATGACAAAATTCTAGTTACATAACATTTTATAATACAGATTTCTAAAAATTGTAGTAGTAAAATTTCTAGCTAAAAATCTTTAATTTCATATTTAGAGCAGCTCTTCTGTCCCCCAAACAGATTAGACTTTTGTCAATTTTGGAGTTACTTCTGCCCACATCACCAATCTGAATTGTATGTTAAGAGTGTTGTTACTCTCTTGCGTTTGAGTCAGAAATAACCCATAGCTGATCCTCCAGCAAGTCTTCAGAGGCAGTTAATTGCACGGGAGGAGACTTCCCGACCTTCTCCCATGAAGTAGATGGTGAGCTAATTATAAGAAAGGGGTGCAGAAAGACCAGTAGACTAATCATGAACACTAGAGGGCTGAAACATTCTTTCTCTCAGCTGTCCATCAGTTTCTCTGACATTTGACAACTAAACACAGCTCTCTTGAACTTCCCTGAATAAGGGGGCTGGCCTTCCCTCAAAGGCATTCAGAGGAGGAGGAACCTGGACTTGCCTGTTTTCTCTGAAGTCATGTGAGGAATGGAGAGTGGTACCACCATGGTCAGCCTCTGCACCTCCATGATGGTGGCCTCTGTGTAGGGCATCTGGACCTTGTCAGTGAGGGAAGGGGCTCGGTTGAGACCAATGACTTTTTTTATTTCTTCATGAACCTTTTCTATACAGGAAGGGAAAGAAGAAGACAAAAGCAGAAGAGAGGTGAGACTGTCTTCCTATGCACCCTTCTGATCACCACTCACACAGCAATGCTAAGTTCATAGCATGTTTGATTGAGCCTCGGTGGAGCAAAACATTAATCAGAGACCTCACCTACAGACAGCTAGCCCCAGAGAGCAAGTGACATTGACTCTGTATGCAGATTAGAAGAGGTAGACAAAGAAGGCATTCTCAGGCTAGAGCACCCTGGACTATAATCTCTCATGTGACTGTTTACTGACCCCGCATGCAGACTGTTGTAGGTGTGGTAGCTCACGTAGCCCCCAAAGAATCTTGGCTTTTGGTATTGAATCTTTGTTTTAGTCCCTCCTCACTGTGTACTGGAGTAACTAACAGAATAAGGCAGAAGCGATGACATGCCATTTTTTTTAAAATTTTATTATTTGTGTGTACCGTCAAATCCGATCTGACTGGTACAGGAGGAGATTGTCCTTCCTTCCCCGGCAGAGCATCTGGTGGATTCGAACCGTGCGCCTCTGGGATTGTAGTGCAGCTTCTTGCCACTAGGCCACCAGAGCTCCCCGACATGCCATTTTTTAGTGTAGATTATAAAAGATATTGCAGTGTACCTATAATGTGTTACAGTAATAACAATTCTTTTTAAATGATGAAATTTGGAAATAATCTGCTATTCAGAAAGAGGTAAGTAATGCAAGTAGGCAAATCCTATCTAGGGCAGGCAGGATAATGACTTCCCAAAGGTTTACACACCTTAATCCTCTTACCTGGCAAGAGAGACTTTCTTTGCAGGTGTAAATTAAAGACCATGCAATGTGGAGCTTACCCTGGAGTATCTTGGTGGGCTCAGGTTAATCACATAGGTATGTGAAATCAGAAAATTGCTCCCAGTGTAGTTCAAAGTCAGAAAGAGATGTGATTACAGAAGAATGGAGAGGTAAGACTAAGAGATAAAGACAGATGCCTTTAAAGGTTGAGGGGAAAAGACATGAGGCAAAGACTGTGAGTGACCTCAACAAGGTGGACACCAGAAGGAAATGGATTTTTCTCTACAGCCTTCAGAAAGGAATGCAGTCTTGCCAACATCTTGATGTAGCCTAGTATGTGTCAAATTTCTAAATGATTGAACTGTAAGATCCTAAGTTCTTGCCACTAAATGTGTGATCACTCCTTACAGAAGCAATTGAAAATTAATATAGCACCCCTCCCTCCATTCATCCACATAAATTACATTCACTTGTGGTCACTTTGAGTTGTCTATGACTCCATGCATGTACCACCACCACCAACATAGAGAGGGCTCTGTGGGCCTGGTGGATAGGAAGTTATGCTACCAAATCAAAGGTGGGTGATTTTAATCTGTGGCATTCAGGTCTGGTTTTAATTGTTTTTTTTGTCAAACATTCTTCTAAGTGGTCTAACACTGGTCTGTCCACTTGCTGTACAGAAGTAACTTGTGGTTGCTGTGATGCTGAATGCTGTGACACTGATGCATCAAACGTGATAATGGTTACCCATGGTGGACAGTGTTTGCTGGAGCTCCCCGACTTAAAAAAGCTTGGAAGCAGGAGTGGCATTCACTTTTGAAATAGCTTGCCTTTCTGGAAACCCTATGAACTTGGAGAAATGACGAAAGTTAAACAAATGTTCAGGTCTTTTGTTCATAGCATCGCTATGAGTTATCTATGATTCGAAGGCACTTAACAACAACAATATTGGTGTTGACTAGTGGAACTAGTTATGTGACCCTGTGAGAGTCACAAAACTTCTTTGGACTTTTGTTCTCCATTTTAAAAAAAGGTGCATGAATTCAGACGATTCATTCAGCTCTGAAAATCTTGTCCTTCTCTAAAGATCTTTCTCTGCCACAAATTTCAGAACCAGACCTGGAGATATTTAAAGCAAGGCAAACAAGTTATCACATCAGTCTCACTGTTTTAAAAAAAAGGTCTTTCAACTCTCTGTGAGATGCAAGTATTTCCATTTTACTTTCAAGCCTGAAGATAGTGCTTAGTGCTAGCAGACCAGAATCAATGATGTTGTTGATCCTAATTGTGGCTTTATCTTAAAAGAAGGAAACATTTTTACCTTGAACATCAGGGTGCAATGACATATACAGAAGGCACCAAAGTATAGAGTTAGTTGTGGTATCAGTCCCAGCAATGAAGAGATCCCCAATAGTATAAAGCAAGTAATCTTCATTAAAACTACTGTTACTATTGATTTTCTTTTCTTCTTCCATGTGGAGAAGGTACATGTCTATGAAGTCCTGAGGGTTCTCTACATCCAGAGACTCTCGATGCTCTTTGATGATTTTTTTAAGAAAAATGGTCATATCTTTTTCAATTTGCCTTAATTCCTTAAATGGTCCAAAGGGAAGGTAATAAAGCCAAGAGCATATGTTTATTAGGAGAACTTGGTTGTTCAGACAGATTTCTAACCCTCGTGACATAAAATGAAGCATCTTCTTAAACTCACTGTTGGTGTAGTCAAAACGCTGGGAAAAACACATGGAGCAAATGATGTTGGAGATGGCATTGTGGACAATGGGGAAAGGGCTAAAGGGGTTTTCTCCATGCTTCTGCATTTCCTCTTTCACATATTTGAACTCTTCAATAATCTTGGGTTCCAAGCTCAGCTTTCCCAAGCCAAAATGACGAAGAGTTGAATGAGAGAACTTCCTCTGTTGTTTCCAGACTGGACCATAAGGTGCAAATACAATCCCTGCAAAAGGACAGCAAGAATGGAAGGTAAGAAAAAGCAATACTTGATAATTTGGAACAGAATCTACACAGGGTGTATTCTGGATTTCTCAAGCTATTTGTGTGAAATTCATAGATGGGGTCACAGATAAAGAACGCCTTTAAAAGACATGATCTATTCAATTAATATTTCTTAACAATACCATGTTCCAGGCATTGGGGTTCTGGAAATAAAACAGAAAGCAAAGAAAGAGCATACTATGGCTAAAGATTCTCATAAATTGTATTACTCTACAAATGCCTCACAATACTCAAATGGTCAACTGTGTCAAAGAATCTATAAGTTCCATTTTCTACTCTGGAAAGTTACACTTTTCTGCTCAAACTGATGCTGTTTGTTTTGTAAGACTACTCTGCAGGTATTGTCTTGTAACTTGCACTTGTCAGAATTTAGGAATTTTACTCGTGTTGAAACTTTGTTTTCTTTGTCAGACCCTGTTTCCCCTTTTATTGCTTTATTCCCTCACTTTGCTGAAATACATACTCTAGAAGTTATCTGAGAAGAGATGCACAGGAGGTAAATTACTTAAGATTGTGCATGCCTGGAAATGTAACATGTATTTATTCTAAGAATTTTTTTACAGCTTATTTATATGACCATGTCTACATGTTTAAGTAGGTGACACTGATCACATTCTTTTAGCTGTACAAACATTCTTACTCTCCTTTCCTCAGTGGATCTTTCCACGTTAACATATATTCACTGCCCTCTAAAGTTTCTATCGAATTTTTCAAGTTGCTGTTGTCAATTTGATACCACATAGACAGATCTTAAAAGAGTATAATGGTCAAGAAGACCTTTTTTTACTAGTTAAATTATTTCTTTTGAGAAGACTTAAGGGGATATTTTGGCTAAGGCTTAATGATTATCTTGGCATTAGTTCTAGAGTGCAGTGTTAGCTTAAAAGTTGGTATTTCTAGCCATTAGTTAGCCCCCTCTGGCCTCCAGCTACCTTAACTGCAGACATATGGTCTTGAAAATCATCAACAACTGTGACACTAAGAAAAGAGAGTGTGTGCTTCCCACACTCGCAAGCAAGACTTGAGACTGGAGCAAGACCCCGCTGAGAGCAAGACCAGAGTGAGATCCTGTTGGCAACACTCTGGTGATGGTGGTGGGAGACTGTGGCATTGCTGTGGAGAAATTGTGGTGAGGTATAACCAGAGGAGTTATGAGGCCACAAAAGTTAAAGGTTGGGCTGTTCTTACCAGATGATGGAAGGAAAAGCTGACTGCTGAACTGAAACCGGAGCCTGGACTAATTGAGGAATTGTGCCTTGGGATTGTTGTGCTAAAACTTGGACTTAAACTCGGTGATATTCCTTGCCTCCTTCACTCTATATATTACTTGCCTAATAAAATCTCAATCTCTGTACCACAACTGTGAGTAAAGTCTATGTGTCAACAATGAATAAATGAACCTCTTGCTGTTGGTGTGGCTCTAGTGGGACAGTGGGGCTGGGCTATGGGCTCTTTGTCTGATTTCTGCTTTGTGGTGGTGAAGGACTATGCTATTTTCACTCCCTCTGATCCTTTCAGAGAGATGCTCATGGCCTTGTGCCCCCATGTCCCATTTTCTGCTCTTTTTGAACAGAGGTTCATCTATCTCCCATTCATCCAGAAAGTCTGGAGTCCATGAGAATTTTACATTCTCGTTTCAATGTCTCCCCTCAACCCCTTTGATCAGGATTTTTTTCATACACTCTTGCATCAAAATGTTAAACATTTAACAGTAGCAAGGCACCGACCATTTCTTCTAGTTCCATGGCAAAGGAGACATACATACTATTAGCCACATATTTCAGATTCTCTTCCTGATACTGACTCGCCGTTGTTTGTTGCTCTGGGTACACACAGACCAATTGTTGTGCAATGGATAGTTTTTCCCTCAGAATTTTAATGGCATTGCTAAATTAGATGACTGAATCATAAAATATGTACTATCTTCAACATTGCTAGGCATTGGCAAATTGCTCTCCAAAGGAGACAAAAATAAAACCTAAGCCCACTGTTGCTGAGTCAATTCTGACTCACAGTGACTCATCTTTGGGTTTCTGAGGCTGTAAACCTTGATGGGAGCAGATGGCCTCACCTTTTTCTATGGAAATGCTGGTGGATTTAAACTGTCAATATTTTATGCCACTATGGTTTCAAAACAGAGTCCATAAAAATATACTCATTCATTCAGAAGTTGTAAATGTAAAGTTAATGGCATTTATCAATCTTCTTATAATTTGTGCTGTATATCTTAAGAAATCTTTTTCCATTCACATGACTCAACCTTACTTGCTGAAACTGAGGAGGACCTGAAGCACCTGCTGCAGAAGGTCAAACACTATAGTCTACAGAACGGATTGAAGCTCAACATCAAGAAGAGAAGGATTCTCACCATTGGGCCAACTGACAGCACCACGATAAATGGAGAAGAGATTGAGGGTGCTAACAATTACAGCTTGCTCAGGTCTACAATCAACAGTCTTGGCACCAGCAGTCAGAAAATCAAAAGATTAACTGCTTTGGGAAAAATATGCTGTCTGTCAGGGACCTCTCCAGAGTACTGAGAAGCTATGATTTCAGTCTAGAGACTAAGGTGTGCCTGATCAGAGAGCTGGACAATGATTAAGGATGAGAAAAGAAGAATAGATGTCTTTGAATTGCGGTGCTGGAGAAGAGTCTTGAACATACCACAGACTGCCAAGAAAGCAAATAGCTCTTCTTGGAGAGGGTTAAACCAAGTTTCTCTTTCGAGGCGAGGATTTTGAAGCTCTGTCTCACATACTCTGAGCATGTGGTCAGACAGGACCAGTTTTTGGAGGGTATAATGCTTGGGATCTCAATCTGCATCAGGATGGATGGTGAAGAGACTGAGATTGTTCACAGCTTCAGTCTGCTTGGCTCTACAGTCAACACTCTCAGCACCAGTAGCCAGGAAATGAGAAGACATATTCCCAGGAAAGTCTGCTGTTAGGGACCTCTCCAAAGTACTGAAGAGCAATGGTGTCTCTCTGGAGACTAAGGTGCGTCTGATACAGGCCATGGTCTTTGCTATCACCTGTTATGCATCAGAGAGTTGGACAAAGACTAAGGAGGATAGAAGGAGAATTGATGCCTTTGAGCTGTGGTGCTGGAGTATTGAGAGTACTTTGGACTGTTAGGAAAACAAACAGATTCATCCTGGAAAGGGTCAAACCGGGCTGCTCCTTGGAGGCAAGGATTCTGAGGCTCCGTCTAACATACTTTGGACATGTTGCAAGGAGGGACAGGTCCTTGGAGAGGGACATCATGCTTGGTAGTGTGGAGGGACAGTGCAGAAGGGGAAGGCCCCCTATGAGGTGGATTGATTCAGTGACTGGGATAATAGGGATGGGTGTATCAGAGATGGTGCGATTGGCACAGGGCAGAGCAGAGTTTAGGAACGTTGCACATAGGGTCACTATGAGTCGCAAGGGACTCGATGGCACACAACAACAACAACAACAACAACAATGCTTGGGAAGGGCAGAACAGAGCAGGCTTCAGAGCTGGTGTACACAGGGTCGCTATGAATCACAGGTGACTTGACAGCACCTAACAAGTACAGCAATTTGTCTCTAAACTACCTCAAGAGAGCTATAGGTTCTGGGGGGAGAATAGTCTGGGAGGTGTACTGCTAATTCAAACGTATTGCCTCTTTGGCAGTTAGATTTCACCAGGGGAATCAAGGTAAAATGACACACAATTAAAATTTTTATTTTATATTGGTTTGCTTACAAAGTTCACACACATTGTGCTTCATACAATCATTCCCATTTATTATGTTTTATAAACTAATCACCACTGGACTCTGCCTACCATTGTTGCTGTTTACCATCGAGTTGGAACCAACTCAGAGCTGACCCTCCAGCGGGTTTTCAGAAGGAATTAATCAAATGGGAGGAGACTGCTCATCTTTCTCCCACAGAGCAGCTGGTGGATTTGAACTGCGTGTCTTCAGGATTGCAGTACAGTTTTACCCTGTTTTGTTTGGGGTTTTTTTAAATACTAGTTTATTTACAAAATTTTAATACATTGATTTAGAGAACAGACTCTTCCAATTTCTCCTCACCCTCCCACTCATCAAATTCCACAACCCCATGATTAATACTCTCTCCCCCTGCACATCCTCATCCCTCTGCTTCCACCTCACGCCCCGCCCCACCTCCCTTGGGTACTTATACTCATTCTACAATAAAAGTTTTACACAATATTTGTCCTTGTGGGACTGAACTAGTGCATCCAATATAATGATCTCGACACCCTTTACTCCTACGTGCTGGGTCGTATTCCATTGTGTGAATGTGCTTTAATATCTCAATCCATTAATTTGTTGGACATCTGGGCTGTTTCTATGTTTTTTAAGGGTAATATCTCCCCAGATCTTTCACATTTTCTTTATCCCCTCTCTCTACCCACCAAATTGTGCAAACCTGTGATTTTGCCCCAACCCATTCCTCACCCTTCTGCTCCCACCTCTTCCCCACATGGATCCCCATACATATTTTATTAGTTATTCTTGTATTTTTACAATAATACTCTTATGCAGTATTTGCCCTTATGAGACTGAGTTAGTTCACTCAAAACAATGCTCTCCAGTCTCACCCAAGTTATGTAGTGTTTTTCAAAATCAGTTCATCTGAGTGTTACATAGTATTCCATTATGTGAATGGACCACAGTTTCTCAATCCATTCAATTGTGGTTGGACATCTGGGCTGTTTCCACAGTCTTGTGATGGTGAATAACAGTAATATGCACATTGGTGTAAAAATCTCTGTTTGTGTCTCAGTTCTAATTTCCCTGGCTCTTCCTTTTTGATTGTTGCTTAACTCTAGGTTTCTGTCTTTGTTATGACTCAAGTTAAGTCTGGTCTCTGGTTGGATGACAAAACTGATCAATCCCCACATTAGCATTCTACACATTTCATTTGCATAGTCTTACCTGAAAGG